CACCTGAAGAAAGAAGAAAATTTCCTCAGTAATGCAAAAATTTCTACTCAAATCAGTAAGTATAAGTGGACATGACTTTTATAAATAGACATAATGTGAACTAATGACTTTTTATTTTATGTTACTTTTTATATTTTATTTAGTATTTTTTGTTTTTGTGTATGAGTAAGCATGTACATAAGTATGCTTCTTTCGTGCAATGCCTGCAAAGGTCAGACGAGGGCATCAGATCCCCTGGAACTGGAGTTGTTATCTGCCTTGTGGGTGCTGGGAATCAAATCCAGGTCCTCTGCGAGAGTAGCATCTCTCCGGCCCCAACTAATGACTTTTGTGGGGGGGTCTTTTTTAGACAGGATCTCCAAGTAGCCCCAGCTGTCCTGGAGCTCAGTTTGTAGACCAGGCTGGCCTTAAACCAACAAGCAATCCATCTGCCTCTGCCTCCCAAGTGCTGGGATCAAAGACTTGTGCCACCACACCCGGCCTTCAATTAATGACTTTTAATTAACCCCAACAAAACCATGTGCTCTTCTGTCTTATGACCTGGGCACCTGATCTTGTTTCCTTGGCAACCTCAATTTAGTACTCCAGCCAAAAAGATAATGAATGAATGTGGGTATGCTTGAGAATTAACATATCAAAGCACTGAAGGCAAGCTCACCCATCTGCACTGCACACAGTGGAGACTGGGAAGGACCAGTGACCTCAGGTGAATGAAATATTCTGGAACAAAGGATGAACAGGCCTCGTTGCCTGTTAAGATCAGGATGGAGCCAAGTTTGTATTTCTCCAATTGAAGCTGGAGAAACCACTTTGAATAAAATTATGGGTGGGGCCTGACTCGAAGGCACAGTTCCAGAAACAGAGTTCATCAGTGCAGTTCTGTCCAGAGACAGTTTCATCAGTACTGTTCCAGGAGACAGAGGATTCCAAGAGATATCTAGGGAAACTGGAGCCCTCTGAGTTCCAGCCCAGTCTTAAAAACTAATTTAATTGCCAGGCGTGGTGGCTCCCACCTTTGATCCCAGCACTGGGGAGGCAGAGGCAGGTGGGTCTCTGTGAGTTCAAGGCCAGCCTGGTCTACATAGTGAGTTCCAGGACAGCTGGGGCTACAGGGAGACCCTGTCTCAAAAAGACCAAAAAAAAAAAAAAATGCTGTTGTTACATTTATTTACTCATGTGTGCCATGAGGAGGTGTTTGTAAGCATGCACACACCATGGCATCCGAATGAAGGTCCGAGGACAGCCTGTGGAAGTTAGTTCCCTCCTTCCACTATGTGGGTCCCAGGGATCCAAGCTTGCCATCTATCTGTAATAGATTTATTTGTAAATGGGCTTTATGTGTAGATGTGAATGTATATCTGTGTGTATGCATGAGCTAATATGGGTGCATGTGTGTAAACATGTATGTGGAGGTCAGAGGTCAGCCTTGGATGTGGTTCCTCAGGTGCTGTCTGTCCACCTTGTTTTTGAGACACACTCTCCATCAGACTAGAGCTTAGCAAATAAGCTGGGCTGGGTGGACAGTGAGCCCCAGGGATCCTCCTGTTTGTGACTCCCCAGCACTAGGAAAACCAGCACATGCCACTGAACCCCACTTTTTTGCATGGGTTCTGGAGATGGAACTCAATCTAGTGTGGTTATAACTTCTACTGACTGACCCATCTCCCCATCCTATGGGCTTTTTACACAGTAGTTAGGACAGGGATGTCAGCTCTTCAGTCCTCACTACCTTGGTGTATTGTATCAACTGCAACTTGAATTTCAGTCCCAGGACACTTTAAAGTGCACTCACTGTTTGCCTGAGTGGCCACAGGTAATGTAGAGAGCTCGGCACTAGCCCCCTGGTATGTACCACAGCCGTCACTGACTGTGCAGGGGAACCAGAGACCAAGAGTATCAGGACACATGAGGAAGCTTTGACTCCTGAGTGCTTCAGAAACAAAAGAGAATCACAATACTCAATTAAAATGCTGAATTTGGGGGCTGGAGAGATGGCTCAGTGGTTAAGAACACTGGTTGTTATTAGAGAAGACCTGGGTTCGAATCCCAGCACCCACATGGCAGCTAACAACTGTCCGTAACTCCAGTCCCAGGGATCTGACAGCCTCTTCTGACCTCCGCAGGCATTGCACGACACGGGCACACTTACCTACATGCAGGCAATACATGCATACACATAAAATAAAAATAATGAATTTTTTTTAAATGCTGAATTTTGGGCCAGCAAGACGGCTCAGCAGGTATAGGTGCTTGCCACACAAGCTTAGCAACAGAGTTTGATCCTTGGAACCCACATAAAGGTGGAAGAAAAGAACCGACTCCACGAAATTGTCCTCTGACGTTCACACTTGAGCTGTGGCACACGTGCGTCTCTCAATGCGCACGCATGCACTCACACACTCTAAAATAAAAAACCAAAATACTAAATTTTGGAACTGGAGTACAGTTCAGTAGGAGGACGCATGCTTAGCATGTAAAAGGCTCTGAATTTTACCCCTACACAAGAATTTTCATTCCAATAATTTTTTCCTCTTTTGAGTGTGTTTGTGCACATGTGTGAGTACATATATGTGTGGATCCACTTCTGCAGAGGCCAGAGTTCAACCTCAGACATTGTTCCTCAAGATGTCTTTGAGATGGGGTCTCTCACTGGCCTGGAACTCACCAATTTGGCCATACTGCCTAGTCAGCAGGGACCAGCCCAACTCTGATTCCTCAGCTCTGGGATTCTAAGTGCCACTACACCTGGCTTTTTTACAGAGGTTCTAGTATGAAACTCACATGCCAAGCACTTTTCTGACTGAAGTACCCCCTACCCCCAATTTTTTCCTTTCTACACTACAAGCTTCTTTTTTGTACATCATTAGTGCAAACCTGGGCTGGGGGTGTAGCTCAGTGGTAGAAAGCATGCTTGATATATACAGGCCATATCCCAAAGAACAACAACAACAAAAAAAACCCAGTTATGAATCCTTTTCTTTTGGCAAGGTCTCATGTAGCCCAGGCTGGCCTTGAACTGATGCCCTTGCCTCTACTTCCCAAGCTCTGGGATCACTGGTGTGTACCGCCATGCTCAGCAACCCTCCAGCAAGCATTCATTTCTCTTTGATCCCTCGTGTTAATCAAATTCCCAACTGCCAAAGCAGAATGATGTTTGCCTTTTAGATTGAAATGTCCAAATGTGTGAAGACCTTGACGTTCAATTGTCTACTACCCACAGGATTATTGAGCCGAAAATCAGAGTAGAGCTTTACAATACTCCCATCTTGTGGCTAAGTAGAGGTATAGCAGCCTCGCCTTGTCACTGCTTTTTAGACTTCAGGGAAGCCAGACCAGTGGGTAAGGAAAGAGCTGAAACCACCCAGGAAGAAACCGGACTTCCTCCCCAGCACCAGGACTTCCTGTAGAAACATTGTCAATCAAGGTCAGTCTCAACTACCTAGCAAGTTGGAAGCCAGCCTGAGCTACATGAAATTTTTTCTCAGCAAAAAAAATAAAATTAAAATAAATTTAAAAAAGAAAAAGTAAATGATAATATGTGAATTGCAGGAGAGTCATAAGCTTCATTAGAGGAAGCTATAAAGACATAAATTCCGTAAAGTGGCTAACTGCTCCTAAATTGGCAGCCTGGCCTTGCTCAAGCCTTATCAACTGGTCACTCCCTGGACTGAGAGAGACTGCTTACAGAGCCAACCTGTCTCCTTTAGTATCATAAGATAACTCACCTGCCCTTCCTGAGAAAATAATCTTAGGAGAAAGACCCTCAGTCATCCTCAGGACGCTGGCACTGAGCAAATTCCTGCAGATGCCTGCAGCTTCGTTCAGCACAGTTCCTGTATAAGTCCAAATGGCTCAGCCCCTCTTTGCAGATACTCATTCTGCAGAAGGGTTTATCAGCGTTTGCTGGGTTCCCTGAAAAAGGGAACACATTCCTTGCCTGTTGTAGGTCTGGCTCTGACTCGTTTCTTTTCTTTTTTTTAATTTTATTTATCATTTTTATTTTATGTGTATGCATGTATTGTCTGCATGTAAGTGCACCGCCCATGTCGTGCAATGCCCTCGGAGGACAGAAGAGGCAGTTGTTAGCTGCCAGTGGGTTCTGGGATTCGAACCTGGGTCTCCTGCAAGAACAGTCAGTGTTCTTAACCGTTGTCATCTCTCCTTCCTTTTTCTGCTCTCCTAAATCTAAGAAAAAAAAATTTAGTCTTTGTAGGCATGTGAGGAAGATTGAGTATGGTCTCCCTACCCTTGTTTTGCTGTTTAAAAGTTTTGTGTATGGAGCTGGCGAGACACCTCGGAGATTATGAGCACTGGCTGCTCTTGCAGAGGACTGGGGTTCAAATCCCAGCACCCATATGGTGGCTAACAACCATCTGTAACTCCAGTTCCAGGGGATCCAACGCCCTCTTCTGACCTCTGTGGGCACTGCACAACATGGGTGCACTTATACACATGCAGGCAATACACTCATACACATCAGAATAATAAATAAAATATTTTTTTAAAGTTTTGTGCATGGGCTGGAGAGATGGCTCAGCAGTTAAGAGTACTGACTGCTCTTGCAGAGGACCCAAGTTTGATTCCCAGCACCTACATGGCAGCTACGAACTGTCCTTAACTCCAATTCCAGGGGAATCTGAAGACTTCTTCTGACCTCTGTGACATTGCATGACACGGGTGCACTCACATACATGCAAGCAATACACTCATACACATAAAATAGAAATAATAATTTTTTTTTAAGTTTTGTGCATGTTATATATACATGGACAGAAAAGGGCGTCAGATCCCCTGGAGCTACAGGAGGCCCTCGAGGAGGGTGCTGGGAACCAAAGCCATCTCTCCAGCCCCCTCCCTTGTTCATATTATCACTACATTTTTTAAAAAAGATTTATCCTTATTCTTTTAAATTCTGTGTGTGTGTGTGCGCGCGCGTGCACAGGATGAATTTACAGCACTTCGTAAGAAATGAAAGCAAAGCTGGGCATGGTGGCACACACCTTTAATCCCAGCACTCAGAAAGCAGGTGGGATCTCTGTGAGTTCAAGGCCAGCCTGGTCTACATAGTGAGTTCCAGGCCAGCCAGTGCTACAGTGAGACCCTGTCTTTAAAAAAAAAAAAAAAAAAAAATCCGGAGGACTAAAAGGGAGCCCTAGTCCTTTTTTTCAATATTTATTTCCTTATTTTTTATTGTGAAATGAGTGTTTTTCCACATAGCCCAAGCTGGCCTAGAACTTGTATAGAGCCATGGCTACCCTCAAACTCGGATCCTCCTGCCTTTATCCTCCCCAGGGCTGGGATTACAGACCTGTGCCACCGTTCCCAGCTGCTGCTGCTTTTTTATTTTAATTGACTGCACTTCCTCTTTCTGTGAATCGGGGTTTCTGGACTCGGTCTGGGCATGCGCAGTCCCCGTATGTCTACGACCTCAACATCATGAATTCCTTGGCAAAGAGCCCAGCCAAAGCGGCATCAAACAGCGGTCTCATTTTAAAGGAGCGTTGGCCCTACAGGAACATCAGGCACTGCACTTACTCTGTCCAGGAGGCAGACAGCAGCCGGGTTCCCACGGAACGGTCTGGCCGTGAACGCGTCCACTATGAACATGGGGAGTTTCATCTTCCTTCCCCGCAGTTTCCGCTCCGGCTCCAAGTGCCCAGCGCTGGAAAAGACAGGAAGTTAATGTTCTACTTGGTGTACAGATGGTTAACAGTTCCCAAATACAAAGTCCGTTATTCCAATATACTTATTTCTAAAGATCCACGAGCCTCATATTTTTTCAGTCTCTGAATTGAATTTGTTTAAAAGTACTGACAAAATGAAAACTAAATGGGAAAAGGGGAATGCATGCCTGTAATCCAGCACTCAGAAGTGGGGGTGGAGGGCATCAGAAAAGTTCAGTCATCCGAGGCTGCCTAGGAAGTAAGAGATCAGTCAGAAAGGGATACATAGATTCTGTCTCAATTTTGTTTTTTCATTAAAAAATACTAAATGGATCTTTTTTCACTTTGGCTCTACACACACACACACACACACACACACACACAATCTACCACATAATCAGAGTGGCCAAAACTAGCTTAGTGAAATGCAGGAAACTTCCCAGAGCACACAGGCTCCCAGGCTACCTGTGATATGCTGTTCTTTCAAAAGAATGTGCTTTTCAGCTGGACATGTGTTCTCATAGGTAATCCCAGCACTCAGGAGGCTGAAATAGTAGGATGCAGAGAGATGCCAGCCTTGGGTAACTGCAAAGCCAGCCAGGGACTTTGTCTCAAAACAAAAAACCTGTCAACAAACAAATCACAATTTTTTTTCTAATGAAAAAATAATTCATAGTCAAGCAACATGCTGCATGCCTTTGATCCCATCACTAGGGAGGCAGAGACAGGCAGATGTCTGTGAGCTCAAGGCCAGCCTGGTCTACATAGCGAGCTCCAAGCCAGTTGAGACTACAGGGAGACCCTGTCTCAAAGAGCTAGGAAGGAAGGGAGGGAGGGAGGGATGAAAGAAAGAAAGAAAGAAAGAAAGAAAGAAAGAAAGAAAGAAAGAAAGAAAGAAAGAAAGAAAGAAAGAAAGAAAGAAAGAGAAAGAAAGAAAGAAAGAAAGAAAGGAAAGAAAAAACTGTCTTTTTCTCTAGTATCCATGAGCTGCATGGGCAAGTTTTAAAGATTTTAGCTTAAATAGTCTTTTGAAATTGTGTGTTCATATGTGTGTGTGTGTTTAGATTTAGACCCAGGGTCTCAAGCATGCTAACACAAGTTTCACAAATGAACCACACACAGTTCCTAAATTCCTGGATGTTTGTAAGAGATGAGGGGGGCGTCCCACCATATGGCACAGGCTAGCCCCAAATTTCTGGGCTCCAGTAATCCCTCTGCTTTAGGCTCTCGATTAGCTGAGGCTACATGTGTGCCACCACGCCAAGCTCTAGCTTTGAAAATTTATAAAATTTAATTCAGGGCACAGTGAGATGGCCCAACAGGTAAAGGTGCTTGTTATGCAAGCCTGGTGGCCAGAGTTCAATCCCCAGAACCCAGGCAAAGTTTGAAGGAGAGAACAGATTCCACATTATCCTCTAACCTCCACTTTCTGATTTTGTAGGTCTCAGGTGAGGCCCAGGGACTTACATTCCAGGACTGGGGATGCAGCTCAGTCAGTAGAGTGCTTACTTAGCATGCCCAAGGCCCAGGGTTCCAACCCCAGCACCACATAAACCAGGCATGGTGTCTCATGCCTATAATTCTAGTGCTTGGGAGGAAGAGGCAAGAGAATCAGGAGTTAAAGGACACCCTGGGCTACGTGAGATCTGTCAAACAACAACAGCAAAAACCCATAAACACAAGAACATTCTGGTGGTTGGTCAATGGAAAATGCTGATGCTGTACTTGGAGATTAATAATGGAGAGAGCAAGAATTTTCTATCTGAAGAAATGTATTAAAAAGTATGATTCTAGCCGGGCGTGGTAACCCACACCTTTAATTCCAGCACTCCGGAGGCAAAGGTTGGCAGGTCTCTGTGAATTCAAGGCCAGCCTGGTCTGCATAGTGAGTTCCAGGACAGCTGGGACTACAGGGAGACCCTGTCTCAAAAAGACCAAAAAAAAAGTATGGTTCTGGGACTGGAGAGATGGCTCAGCTGTTAAGAGCACTGACTACTCTTGCAGAGGACCTGGGTTCAGCTCCCAGAACCTATTCAGGAAGCTCACAACTGTCTTTAACTATTTCCAGGGGATCTGACACCCTCGTTTAGCCTCTATGGGCATCATACCCATACAGTACATCTACAGACAAGGCGATGCATACATGGACACATAATAAAAATTGAAAGTTTCGGGGCTGGAGAGATGTCTCAGTGGTTAAGAGCACTGGCTGCTTTTGCAGAGGACTACTAGACTTTGGTACTAAATTAATGAATAAGTCATTAGTCCCCTCTCAAGTGGTATAGACCTACATAAAGATGATAGGAGAAAAAGATTAAGTGCTCAGTAAAACAATGAAGGGTAATAAATGTTCCCAGAGACAGACTAACCAACAGAGATGCAGGGTGACATAGGACAAAAATACATTTGGTTTGCAGATTTTTTTTTTTTTAGTGTGTATGAGTGTACTGTTTACATGTCGTACAATGCCTGCAGAGGTCAGAAGAGGGCGTCGGATCCCCTGGAACTGGAGTTACAGATGGTTGTTAGTCGCCATGTGGGTGATGGGATTCAAACCCGAGTCCTCTCCAAGAGCAGTCAGTGCTCTTAACCGCTGAGCCATCTCTCCAGCCCCTGTAGATGGCTGGGTTTTTGAGACAGAGGCTCCTGTAGCCCAGGCTGACTTTGAACTCAATACATAACAGGATGATCTTGAACCCCTCTGTCTGAGCGTCCCAAGTGCTGGAATCACAGGAGAATACCTCCACAATTTATATAAAATTCCTCATCTAGTTCATCCCCAGGTTGGGGGGGGGTACATCACACTTCAGTGGGTGAAAACCCTTCAGTGCGTCTTCCTCTTTGCGTCACATGGTCCACAGCTGCATCTTAATGATGGGAAGGGGCTGCTGGTCACTCAACAGACTGAGGCTCTGAAGCTGCAGAGTTACTTGACTGCCAATCATTGGAGACACACGTCTACTGCTGCAATAAATTCATTCTTTAATGCTTTGGAACAAATAAACGAAGATCGAGAACCCAGTACCAACTAGTGTGAAAACTGGGGCGGTCACAGGAAGTTCTCATTCGCCTGTGGATTTACTTTTTTCTTTTTTTATAAAATATTTTATTATTTTTCTTTTATGTGTATGAGTGTATTGCCTGCATGTATGTGAGTGTACCCGTGTCATACAATGCCATGGAGGTCAGAAGAGGACTTTGGATTCCCCTGGAACTGGAGTTAAGGACGGTTTGTAGCTGCCATGTGGGTGCTGGGAGTTGCACCCGGGTCCTCTGCAAAAGCAGTCAGTGCTCTTAACCTCTGAGCCATCTCTCCAGCCCCTACTTTTTTTCTTTTGTGAGAGTTTGGCTAGGCATCCCAGGCTGTCTGCAACTCACAGTCCTCCTGCCCCCACCTCACAAGTGCAGGCCTTGTGGAGTTGTACTCCACCAAACCAGGCTAGCTTACAGTTTTTTAAATGACTGAGAATCGACATCGATGAGATCAGTTTAACATTAACACTCCCTTTAAAAAGCATTTTATTATTTTTATTTTCTGCGTGAGTGTATCGCCTACATGTAAGTGCACCATGTCGCGCGATGCCCACAGATGTGAGAAGAGGGCGTCAGATCTCCTGGGACTGGAGTCGATGGACAGTTGTTCACCACCATGTGGGCAGCCAGCCCCATAAATACCTTTATTGCTTATTTGTTTCTGGTTTTATGAGGCAGGGTCTCATGTAGCCCAGGCTAGCGAAAACTTTGCTCTGTGCTCAAGGTGGCCTTCAACTCCTGGTCCTCCCACCTCCACCTCCCAGGTGCTGAGATCCACGCATGTGCCACCACATCAGGGTCACATTGGAGGAAGTCCTGCACCAAAGTCAACCAAAGGTGTTAAATATTACAGATTTCACCAAATTCACACTGTATTAAAACTCATTTTATTTTTTAATTTATTTTATAATAATTTACGGTCCCCACTCCTCTCCTTTCTCAGTACTGTGTCATGAAATGTTTTTCTGAATTTCTAGTTACTGAATCTTTTAAGTGATTATAAAATATTCTACAGAGTACTCACACCTAAATTTCAATGTATTAACTTGCTCCTCATCAACACAGTTCTCATGGTTGGTAGTCATAAAAAGGAGTGATGACATTACTCTCTGCCAGTTCAGAGCCCAGCCCCACTGGTCCAAAGCCCTATCACATCTACTTCAAAATGCCTTTTTTTTTTTTTTTTTTTTTGGTCTTTTTGAGACAGGGTCTCCCTGTAGCCCCAGCTGGCCTGGAACTCACTATGTAGACCAGGCTGGCCTTGAACTCACGGAGATCCGCCTGCCTCTGCCTCCTGAGTGCTGGGATTAAAGGCTTGTGCCATCACACGTGGCTCTTTTTCTGTTTTTAACCAGAAGACAAAGAGGACTGCTTTGCCAGCTTGCTGAAGGTGGCCCCTCACATGTCTTCTTATGCAAAAAGCACTGTCTTTAGAGATGGAGACTGTTGTGCCCAGAGAACAGACCCCCAAGAATAACCACGGAATCCAGAGGGCATGCAAGAACAAAGAGTCTTTATTCGGGCTTAAGCTTGGCTCTCAGACCTCACCATCACAATGGATCTGTGCTGAGAGCCTCGATTGCAGGGGGAAGAAGCCTTTTATAGGTTTTAGACCAAGGGAGGAGGGGAATTACAGAGTCACATCTTGATTGGTCTGAGAAGCCCCCGTGCGCGCCAACACACTTTTGAGTTGATTGGTTACAAGGGATGCAGTCCTGGGAGTTTCTCATTGATGGGTGCTACCCTCAGAGCTATAGAATGTGCTGACTGTTATCTGTGAGGCCAGAAGTCTCTCTTCTTACCTTATAAGGCTGCTATATGCCTGGGCCTGCTTGATCTATAGCCTCCTGGGGTGGGGGTAGTAGGTGGAGATTACGACATGCCTGGACAGGTCCAGGCTTGCCTGAAACAACTAGTCAAAATGGGGTCAGTGCAGTTTGTCCTCTCAGCCTAGCAATCAAGCGGTTTACAGAAGCGAGAAAGAGCCCTTATTCCTAAAGAGGGGCAGGGGTCTCAGGAGTCCAGGGCAGGGGGCCACGGAGGAGGGTTTCACAGAGACATCCCAGCACAGGCATCTCTAGGCCGCCAGCGTGCCCTCTAAAACAACAGCAACACCGCCCTTGAGGTCAACTCGGCCATCAGGTCTCAGGGAAACGTCCAGTCGTCCTCCTCGGCGGGAACACTGAAAGGCTGAAGAAAACACAGGAGGAGGCAGTGAAGAGCGTTTTCCTCTGTAACTCACAGCATGGTGGAGGACCTTTTATCACACCCAGGAATCATCCCAGGCCAGTTTCAAGAATAGATTCGTTCAGCTGGGTGTGATGGTGCACACCTTCTATATCAGTCATTAATGAAGACAATCTCTCACAGACATGGCCACGGGCAAGTCTAATCTGTGAAGGTCCTCAAATGAGAGTCAAATGACTCTAGGCTGTCTCAAGGATAGGCTAATTTCTTTGGTGGAGGAAATTTCAAGATAACATTGAAACTGTGACATAATGGTTGCCAGTACTCACATTCAGAACTATAGTAAGAGTCAAAAGGTAAGAAAATCATAAGGTTTGGTGAGGCCAGTTGTGTTAGTAAGTTTAAAAACTGCAGACAAGGAGAGTACAGAGGACAAACATCTGTAATTGTTCAAGAGATACCTCATTTTACCGGGACAGTAGGAAAGGTGCCCTGAAATCAAGACTCCACCCATAAAAGGCTTGCATGGATAAAACTGCAAATTCATTTGAAAGAAGAGAGCCTGAAATGAGATTGAGACTTACAGGGTTCTCTGTTCCTGAAAAGTTGTGCTTCTCCTTAGTCAGCACAATTACAGTTGCAACTGTGGTCCAAAGGGGCCAAACTCCATCCCAAGCTGGCAGGAGACAGTGGCAGTATTGGCCATCATCCACACAGTGCTGGTTCCCTAAGCATGAAAGACATAAGATTGAGGGCACTTGGGACACACAGGCAGGTGAATCTCTGAGTTCAAGGCCAGCCTGGTCTACCAGCTGAGGTTACAGGGAGACCCTGTCTCAAAAAGACAAAAAAAAGAAAAAAAAAAAAATAGACACGCTTAAACAAATAAGAAGGAATATTGAGCTGGGCATGGTGGTGCACAGTTAAGACTGTTAAGACAGTCTAGGCTACATAGCAAGACTTTGTCTTAAAAGTCATAGGATGGGGCTGTCTCCATGGGAGAGCATTTGCCTAGCATTTGCAAGGCCTGAGTTCAGCACCCAGGTGCCCAAAGACAAGGGAGGGAAGGACTTGGAAGGGAGCTGTCCTACCTCGCATCTCTTTCTTCCCGAGCTGCTCAGACCAGTAGGGCCCCAGAATGGTGTGGGTAGATCCTAAAAAGAAGTGAGGCACCATGAGAACAGAAGCAACATTTCTACCAATATATAAATAATCACGGCCCATTATCCAGTGTAAACCCTAGATCATCGCACCCTAGACAACCAGGCCACAGTGGAATGTAGAATTAATTATGAATGGAAGACATGATTTTTGAAGCAGCTCTTCCAAATTATGTATCAAACATGTCTTACCATTACTAAAGGCTGAGCTAGACTGCAGGTTTTATTTTTATTTTTTATTTGTAATTTGTTTTTTGATACAGGGTTTGATGTAGCCTAGGCTGGCTTGGAACTCTGTAGCTGAGGCTGGTCTTGAACTTCTTTTCCTCCTGCTTCAACCTCCCAAGTACTGGGATGACAGCTGTGCACCACCATGCCAGGCAAGACTGCAGCCTTTAATTCTGGTCTTTTCTATCAGGTCATTGTCAAAACTTGGTGAGAAAATCGAGGCCTTCCCATAAATCTTTCTACATCTTTACACGGAACATAACTCCCTCCTAGAGTCAAGTGATAGGAAAGGAGGGAACACAAACAGAAGGTGCCCTTTCAGGGTTGAGGGACAAGAAGGGCACACTTTTCAGTCAGAGCTTTGGTTTTGGTTGTACTGGGCCCCAAATGCCAGGCAAGCACTCTACCAACTCTGTCTCCTCAGTCAGGTTTTGTTTTTGTTTTTTTTTTTTTCCACATGATTGTAGCCTAGAAACTAGATCAGAGATCACATATGAAAATGAATAAACACAGGGCATGGTGGTGCACGCCTTTAATCCCAGCACTTGAGAGGCAGAGGCAGATGGATCTTTGTGAGTTTGAGGCAAGCCTGGTCTACAAAGTAAGTTCCAGGACAGCTGGGGCTACAGAGAGACCCTGTCTCAAAAAGACAAAAAAAGAAAAAAGAAAGAAAATGAACAAACAAAACATAAAGCCATCCTGAGTATGGTAGTGTACATGTGTAATCCCAGCACTTAGGAAGTGCAAAGCAGGAGGGCCATGAGTTCAAGGACATCCTCAGCTATGCAGTGAGTTCAAGGTCAACCTGGCTTACCCAAAGCATTTTCTCAGGAAAAAAAAAGTAAAGTCAGAAGTGACTGAAAAATCTTAAGGAGAGAGGATAGTGAGGGAAAACTCCCCCTCCCCCAGGAAAGTTTACCAAGCATTATGGGTTGTCCAAGTAGGGTAACCAACCCCAACCATACCAGATTGCCCAAGACTGGGCACTGAAAGTTCTACATCCCAAGACCCTTCAGTCCTAAGCACTAGGGTAGGTGGTCATCCTGGGCTAAGACCTACACATTCTTGAAAAACGTAACACACAAAAAAGTGCCCCATGTGCCAATCATAGTCTCAGGCAAGCCGCTGTGCATATGCACTCTACCCAGAACATCTCTTCCGTGGGGAGAGGCCAGTTGGACTGTGGAACACTGTGGAGCATTTTCCTGAGTCTTCAAAAGTGGTTGTTTGCTGAGGTTTGAATTTTATGTGCTTTGTTCTCTGACAGGACTCAGCGAAGGCACCAGAGCCCCCTGCTCCTATCTTCTAGCCTCAGCCCAGCCTCTTTCTCCCTGGACCCACTCCACCCCATCAAGCTCCCTACCCTTAGCTGTTCAGACCACTGTTCTCAAAGGGGATGGAAGTAGGTGGCCTGATATTCCTGCCCATCTTTGATGACATCCCCTGCTTCAGGCTGGTACAAGGTCTGTAAGCCTTGGCTCAGGGAAGTAGTAGCATTGTTAGTAAAGTAGTGGTGTAGTGGTTTGAATGAGAACTGTCCCTCAGGCTCAAGTATTTGAACACTGGTCCGTTGGTGGCACTGTTTGAGGAGAGTGGTGGGACCTTTAGGTGCTGTGGCCTGACTGGGGCAGCTCACGGGTGCTTCGAGGAGCCGTGTCCTTGCCCCACTTCCAGCTTTGTTCTTCCATTTCCTGTTCCTGCTTGAAGATGTGAGCTGTCAGCTTTCTGCTCTGGATACCTCCCCCATCATGATGGACTCTCATCCCTCTGGAATCCTAAGTCCAAATAAACTTTTCCTTCTATAAGTTGCCTTAGTCATGGTGTTTTATCACAGAAACAAAAAAGTAACTGATACAAGTGGTCTGGGGATGTAGCTCAGTGGGAAAGGGCTTGCCTAGCAAACAGGGAGACCCCAGGTTAACCTCAATACAAGGAAAAAAAGAGAAGGACATGGAGGAAGTAAAAGGGGGGGACCCTAGCCAGGTGAGGTGGCACATGAGTATAGTCCCAGCACTTGGGAGGCAGAGGCAGGCAAATCTCTGTGAGTTCAAGGCCAGCCTGGTCTATATAGTGAGTTCCAGGACAGCTGGGGCTACAGGGAGACCCTGTTTCAAAAAGACCAAAAAAAAAAAAAAAGGGGGGGGGGGGTGGGGTGGGAGAGGAGGGAGAAAGGAAAAGAGGAAAAGACTGAAAATAGCTAATAGTACTGTGTACCAGGCATGGAATTTAGCATTGAACATGCACTGTGCATACATAATCCTGTGAGGAATTACTCACATTATCAAGAGGAGGGAACTGAGAGTTTCAGAAGTTGTCACCCGTCCTGTCAAGAACTAGGACGCCAGGAATGCCAAGCCAGGCTGGCTGACACCCAAGTTCAATGTCCTCTAATGGTTCCTTTGTTTTACATCTTTCCAGTGAAGACGTGGAGGGAGAGGGCAAGAGCTGAAGAAACAAAGGCAGTTCAAAACCCAAGCAAACCTGCTGGGCAGGGTGCTGCAGGTCTGTAATCCCAGCACTTACAAAGTGATCAGGAGGATCACGAGTTCAAAATCATTCTCTGCTACATAGTGAGTTTGAGATAGCCTGGGTTACATTAGTCCTGTCTCAAAAACCAAAACCAGCCAGCTAAGTAAACAAATAAACCAAGCAATCTGAAAAGTCACCTGAAGGGTCCTTAAACCACTGTCTGTTATCCTCTTTTTCCATGTCTAACTCTCCCTTGGTCTCAGTGAGGCAGGTAAACATAGGGAAGAGCTTAGCAACCTAGGACTCCCTGGGTCTTGGTCGATGGTGGTGGTTGAATGAGAACAGTCCCCTAGGCTCGAGTACTTGAACATTTTGTCCCCAGTTGATGGTGCTGTTTGGGAGGTCATGGAATCTTCAGGAGGTACAGACTTGCTGGAGGAAGTGTGTCAGTGGGGATGGGCTTTGAGAGTTCATAGCCTCATCCCACTTCCAGTTGCTTGCACCACTTCAGGTTTAGGACTGGAGATACGATCCCAGAGCTTTCGGCTCCTGCTGCCATAATGGACTCTATCCCTCTCATGAACCTCATAAACCAAAACACCCTCTTCTGTGAACTGCCTTTGGTTGTGGTGTTCTATCACACCAATAGAAAAGTAACTAACACAGCTGTACACACATTCCCCTCTGAACAAGGCACCTAGCAACCTGTTAGCAGCCTAGGACCCCTACCTCCTTAGAGCTGCGCATGTGCCGGCCTTAAACAATGGAAGGAAGTTCCCCCCTCAGCCCTCCTTGGATAACACCCCAATTTCTATCCAAACATATCCTGGAACACAATCTAGGAACTATGCTATGGACAGTGGGCTGACCTGGCCTAGACTGATCTGGGAAGCATGAGCAAGAGTCAGAGTGTCCTCAAAGTGAACTTTTAGGGGACTCCCCTATTCACCATCTTATGCCAATGCATAAGTGGGTCTGTATTCAAATTAGGTGCATTATGGGAAGGGACATGTGCAGTGAGAAATGGTTTAGGTAACCCACACCCACCAGTCAAAACAGAGAACCACCCAAATTATGGCCACAGTAACCAAACTCCTTTCTCTCTTGAACCCCATAAACAAAAGCCCTTGGGGCTGGTAAGATGGTTCAGTGCTTTTTTAAAAAATATTTTATTATTTTATATGTATGAGTGTATTGCCTTCATGTATGTGAGTGTACCTGTGTTGTGCAATGCTTTGGAGGTCAGAAGAGAGCTTCGGATTCCCCTGGAACTTGAGTTACAGACAGTTGTAAGGTGCCATGTGGGTGCTGGGATACGAACCAGGGTCTTCTACAAGAACAACCAGTGTTCTTAACCATTGAGCCATCTCTCCAGCCCCGGGTTCAGTGCTTTAAGAGCACTTGCTGCTCTTGCAGAGGTCTGAGTTCTGTTTCCAGCACCCACATTGGCTGGCTCACAAACACCTGTAACTCCAGCTCCAAGGGATCCAATACCCTCTTTCAGCCTCCATGGCTCTCAACTTCACATGCACATACACATAGAGACAAAAACAAATAATAAAAATAAAAGAAAGCCTCAAACAATAATTGGGGCCTTGGGTGTCTTTGCTTAGGTGGCCTGCTGTCAGTCTTGACAGTGTCCCTTTTTCTGATCTGTACTAGTCCTCTGCTTTTGATTCAAGTCCCCTCACTATACAACTCTGTGGGCTTTTATTTCAATTCTTTGAATAAGATTACAAGAACCTGAAACACATGGCCCAGACCCCGACCACCTGTAACATCAAGAAAAAGGTACCTGTTACTGGGTCCTCAGCCACACCAATCCATGGTGCGAAGTATCTGGAGTAGAAGTCATATGCGGGAGTCTGCCCTCCAGGCTCTCCTTTAAGAGTGAGAATGAGTCCTGTCACCTTCACTGTGTTTTCAATTTGAGGCAGAGTCTCTGTGTTCACCCTCAGGGTCTCTAGAAATGACCTTGTACAATAAGAGGATGGATTAGGACAAAGGCATTTCACAGACCACCCACTACCCAGAATGGGAAACAGGTCAGGCTGCTTGCCCAGAAGGCAGGACGGGAGAGAAGAGCCTGCCCTGACATCTACCTGTGGCAAAGAAACTGGCTGTGTGCACATGATTGGACACAGCACAGATGGACAGAAGCTGAGCTAGAGAGCTGGGTGGAGACAGGGCTAAATGCCTAATCGTGGTGTTTACCTGTTGTAAGAGTCGCTGAGCCTGACAAGGAGGTTTCTGGTATCTGGAGAGTACCGGATATCCTGAACTAGGGTGTCACCTATGGCCACCTGTGGAACAGATCCAAAACTTCTCGGGATGGGGTAGGTGGCTGGAGAGATGGCTCAGCAGCTAAGAACACTGGCTGCTTCTGCAGAGGACCTGGGCTTTGTTCCCAGCATTCATATGGCAGCTAACAACCATCCATAACTCCAGTTCCAGGGGATCTGATGCCCTCTTTTGACCTCTGTGGGCAATGCACAACATGGGTGTACTTACATACATGCAGACAAACCATTCACATGTAAAATAAATATTTGTGTAACCCCAGAGGAAGAGGCAGGAGGACCAGGAGTCCAAAGTCATCCTTGGCTACCTAGCAGATTGAAGCCTGACTAGGATACCTGAGACCTTTTGGGGACCTTTTTGTCTCAAAAGGCAACAAGCAAAAGCTAAGGGTCCTTGGGAGTGTTAGTCTACTGTCCCCTCAATGGGAACATCTCTCACAAAGCATCTGCTGAGATCAGGCATCACATCATCTGCAGTTCTCAGTTCCTACCCTCGAGGTCTTGCTTAAAGATGACCAATTGTACCAGGTGTGGTGGTTCACACCTTTACTCCCTGCAGACAGATCTCTGTGTGTTCAAGGCCAGCTTGGTCTACAAAGGGAGTTCCATTTGGGGCTACAGGAAGACCAAAAAAAAAACAATGGCCAGACTTTTAAGGGGCCATTTAGCCAACCCTCTGCAGCCTCCAAACAGACGCTGCTCACAACACTCACCACATGCTGCAACAAACAGCTCCTCCAAGCTGGTTCTTTTCCCACAGGGAAGGAGAGTTCAAGAGATCTCAGTCTTACTCCCTGTGGTGGTAGGAATGAGAATGCCCCCCCACCCCCAGGCTTCAAGTATTTGAATACCTGGCCTGGGTTAGTGGCGCTGTTTACAGAGGTTTAGATGTGGCCTTGATGGAGGAAGCATGTCAGTGGGGGTGGGCTTTGAGAGTATATGGCCTCACCCCATCTCTAGTCTCACTTTCTGCTTCCTGTGCCTGTTCGAAGGTATGAGTATGTGAGTGCTCAGCTTTCTGCTCCAGCTGCTTCCCCCATGTTCCTCTGGAACCATAAACCAAATAAACAAGTTGCCTTGGCCATACTGTTTTATCACAGAAACAGAAAAGTAACTAATACATCCCCTCTCCTCTCTACCTCTCCTCTGCCACTATCTCTGTCTGTCTCTCTGTCTCTGTTTCTCTGTTTCTCTCTCTCTCTCTCTCTCTCTCTCTCTTTCTATCTCTCTCTCTCTCTCACACACACACATACACACACACACATAACACAACACATCTTCACCCAAGTCTGAGTCAATCTGGAATCCAATTTGAACCTCTACTGTCAATTTTCTTTAGATTTAAGAGCCTCGCACCCAGGCTCAGTGAAATAGTGTATTTTCAGCAGCAACAAAAGTATCCTAAATGCCAGGACTTGGGGCTGGCTGCCTGATTAAAAGTGGAGACAGCAGGGCGTGGTGGCGCACGCCTTTAATCCCAGCACTTGGGAGGCAGAGGCAGGTGGATCTCTGTGAGTTCAAGGCCAGCCTGGTCTACATAGTGAGTTCCAGGACAGCTGGGACTACAGGGAGAGCCTGTCTCGTTGACCGAAAAAAAAAGAAGTGGAGACTAAGGGACTTGTCTTCTGCTGCACAATGCCCACCTTCATCCAACTGCAGGTTACAGCTCAGTTAGAATTAGAAATGTGAGAACATTTCTTCAAGATAGCTTCCTTTACTCAAACTCAAGGACTTAGTTTGTCTGTCTGCCAAAAGAGGCCATGAGAGGGCAATTCCCTCCCCCATATCATCCTTTGGTTGCAGCCGCTGCCTCCAAGTGGAACTGATCTTGACAGGGCCAGCATTGCATGACTTTGGTGCCTCTCAGGACAGAGCTGCCCCAGTTCCGAACACAGCCAAGACCCCCTCTGCCTTGGATGGTACCTTGGTGCTGTGTTGTTATTTCCTCCCAGTGGAACCCAATGGAAATATTCCCTCTTGCAGGGAGGAGGGAGGCTCATAAGACTCACGAAGCTACTCAGAACATTGCAAGGCTAGAGCTAGAGTGATGGCTCAGCAGTTAAAAGCAGGTACTACTCTTTCAGAAGACCTGAGTTCAGTTCCCAGCACCCATGTCAGGCAACTCACAACCACCTGTAACTCTAGCTCCAGGGGATCTAACTCCTCCGGATTCTGCAGGCACATGCACACACAAATACACATGAATAAAAATAAAATAAAACCGAATATGGTGGCACATACCTTTAACCCCAGCACTTGGGAAGCAAAGCTAGGCAGACCTCTATGAGATTGAGGCCAGCCTGGTGAGTTCCAGGACATCTGGGGCTATAGGAAGACCTTGTCTCAAACAAACAATTAAAAAAATAAATAAAAATGGAAAGACTCACAAGGGCCCTCTCCAAGGTTATGGAAACAGTAGACAGTTGCTAAAAGGACACTCCCTAGTGGTATCTACAGGTTGTGCAGGCACTCTAGGGTGCCGCATTAGTGACCCATCGCTATTTGGAGTGAGTCACACAACAGGAAGAGACAGAAGGGGCTGGAGAGAAGGCTCAGCAGTTAAGAACAAATGCTCACTGCTCTTCCAGAAGACCCAGGTTTGATTCCCAGCACCCACATGGCAGCTAACAACTGTCTATAACTCCAGTTCCAGGGAACCCAACACCCTCTCTGGCCTCCTCAGACTTTGCACAACACAGGTGCCTTTATATGCAGGCAGTACACTCATACACATAAAACAAAAACAATAAATCGTAAAAAAAAAAAAACCTTTTAAATAAAAAGAAGAGACAGAGGATAGTCATACACATTCTGGAGTGGGTAGGAATTTCTCAATACAGTCCCAGAACACTTTTTCTCAAGACAGCCCTTGCCCTGGTTTGGGGCCTTCCTTCTCTGCACTTGATTGCTAGGTCAGCCAGGCAACTCTGGCCTTACAGATCTATGGGACTATTGCAGTGACTCCCTCACTGGGTGGCATTGAGAATAAAACGACAGTACAGGTAAAAACAAAACAAAACAAAACAAAACAAAACACTTAGCATGTGGCACTGCCCAGGAGAGACTCTGGAAACCATCGTTGTTATGATAATGAAGGGGGTGATACTTTACACCCCACTGGTCTCATGAGGAGGCCAGGCTATGCATCTTTCCTCTGGAAGGTTCCTACACTTTCTCCTTCCTGTCCTCCATCACAGAAACTGAGGACACTCACGACTGTTAGCACCTTCCATTCTTTCCCTCTACCTTGCCTACATGGATTTCAGAGTGATCTTTCCTACTAAAAATGCCCAGCTCTTTTGTAACCCGAACTTGGATAGCCTCATCCCAGGCCTATTTATCTCCTTCTAGTCAGAATGGAGAGAATTTCAACCCCTTCATTGTCCTGAGGATGCTCTACTATTTCCTTCATTCCTTCCTTCAGACCTTTCTCTCCATCTGCCCCAAATACTTATGGAAGCAAACACAAATCAGAGTCAAGAGAGCCAGGTCTGATGGCACACACCTGTACTCCTGGCACATGGGAGGCTGGGGCAAGAGGACTGCAAGTTCAAGGCCAGCTGGGGACACATAAGGAGCACTGGATCAAAAAAAAAAAAAAAAAAAGTGTGTGTTAAGGAAAAAAAAAAGGTCAAATAGATACAATACCGAATTCAGACCTAAAATCCCCTAAGCTTCAACTGAAACACCAACATTGCTGGAAGTCCTATTTTATGGAGTCACATCCTACCAAATCTTTGTGTTCAAACAATAGCAAATGACCAAATCACATGGGCTCAGACTTGGTTCTTTGCACCCACCTTTATCAAGTCTTCTACTTCATGGACGTCCTAGAAAAGAAAACAGATAACGTCCTTGTAGAACAGGTGAGCTGGTGGCTGAACAGCTCGTGGCAACAGTGAGCAAGAGCTGACCTGGGGGAAGGTTGGGTAGAGAGGGAAGTCCAAGACGATACCATCATCGGCTCTTCTGGCCTTTAGCTCCCCGCTCAGGGTGACAAAGGTCAGAGTGCTGTTCGTGTTCCCTGGGAAAAGAGAAAGCCACAAATAGCAAAATAAACCTGGTACGTGTGACTTTTGTCTCCCAGTACTGGGAATTAAATCTAAGCCACACAGATGTTAGACAAGTATCTACCACTGAGATATCTCCCCAGGCCCTTCTGATTTTTTGAGAAAGGGTCAACATGAGACCCTTCCTCAAAAAACATACAAACATACATAAAGAAATGGACATTACCTATTTTGTGAAACAGCACAGCCGCAGAAGCCAGGGTGGCGTGGCCACACAGCGGAACCTCACTCACTGGAGTGAACCACCGTAGTCCAAAGCGGGAACCTTCGGAGGGAAAAGTCAGAGAGACGAGGTCAGACCCATGCAGGCAGGTTGTGAACTTCTCAGTGTCTTCCTTCCTAAATCTCTCACTAGTATGATGAACAGCAAAGCCTACTGGGTAACTTTTTTTGTGTGTGTTTTTTGAGACAGGGTCTCCCTGTAGCCCCAGCTGTCCTGGAACTCACTATGTAGACCAGGCTGGCCTTGAACTCACAGAGATCACCCTGCCTCTGCCTCCTGGGTGCTGGGACTAAAGGCATGCGCCACCACACCGGCCTCAAGAATGGTTTTGTAAGATGGAGAGATGGCTCAGTGGTTAAGAGTGCTTGCAGCTCTTGCTCGAGAGGACTTGAGTTCAGGTCCCAGCATACATGTCGGGCAGTTCATGACTTCATGGAACTCCAACTCCAGGGTATCCATGGGCACTTGTACTCACATGCACATAGCTACACACACACACACACACACACACACACACACACACACACACACAAATATACATATGTATAATTTAAAACAAATAAAAAAATAAGATTAGGGTTTTTTTTTTGTTCTTTTCTTAACTTTTTTTTTTTATGTGTATACATCTTTTGCCTTCATGTAGGTAAGTGCACCCGTGCCATACAATGCCCACGGAGGTCAGAAGAGGCTGTCAGATCCCCTGTGACTGGAGTCACAAACAGTTGTTAGCTCCATGTGGGTGCTGGGATTCGAACCCAGGTCTTCTGCAAGAACAACCAGTGTTCTTAACTGCTGAGCCATCTCTCCAGCCCCAAACATTTGAACTATAAACACTACCAAATTAGGATTAACTTCAAGACATATGCCCCTAGAAAAACTTAAAATCAAATGTACTACCTACAAATAGTGAATGTGCATTTCCCCTAACAAGTCGATTCTAGTGCCATTCAAGAATGATATTTTAAAATGTACATTTGGGGAAGATAAGATGACTCAGTGGGTAAATGTGCTTTCTTCTAATACTGACAACCCAAGTCTCATCCTCAGGCCCCACATGGCAGAAAGAGAGGATCAACTCCCACAACAAGAGATCCTGCAACCTCTACACACGTGCTATGGCATATGCTTGCACACAGACTCACTCTCTCTCTCTCTCTCTCTCTCTCTCTCTCTCTCTCTCTTAAATAAATGAATGTAAAAAATTGATCCGGGCGTGGTGGCGCATGCCTTCAATCCCAGCACTTGGGAAGCCGAGACAGGTGGATCTTTGTGAGTTCGAGGCCAGCCTGGTCTACATAGTGAGTTCCAGGGCAGCTGGGGCTACAGGGAGACCCTGTCTCAAAAAGACCAAAAAATAAAACAGCAGGGGCTGGAGAGATGTCTCAACGGTTAAGAACACTGACTATTCTTGCAGAAGACCTGAGTTCGAATCCCAGCACCCACATGGCAATTAACAACTGTCCGTAACTCTAGTTCCAGGGGATCCGACAACCTCTTCTGTCCTCCATGGGCATTGCACTACATGGATGCACTTACTTACATGCAGGCAAAACACATACACATAAAATAAAAATAATAAATAAAATATTTAAAATAAATTAAAAAAAAAAAAAACGGGCTTGAAGAGATGGCACTGGCTACTCTTGCAGAGGAACCTGGGTTCAGTTCCCAGCACCCACATGGTGGTTAACAACCATCTGTAGCTCCTGTTCCAAGGGATCCAGTGCCCTCATCTGGCTTCCATGGGCATTGCACACTGGTGATGCACTTACATACATGCAGGCAAAACACTCATACACATAAAATAAAAAAAATTTTTTCTTAAGTATATTTGCTGCTCATGCAGAGGACTTGAGCAACACATGTCAGCTAATGATCATCCATAACTCCAGTTTAAGGGGATCCAATGCCCTCTTCTGGCCTCTGTGGGCACCAGCCACCCACAAGATGTATATATACATACAGGCAAAACACTCATACACCTGAAATAAAAAAAGAAATACAATCTTTAAAGAAAACTTTAAATGTATACTTACTTTGTGTAAAGTTGTCTGTTGGCTGCAGTTTTTTAATAAAAGCAGTTTCAGAAAGGTTCATTTCCCTTGCAATTTCTTGATGTGTGTCTTCATCCAATGTCTTAATTAAAAAACAAAAGGCTATTGAAATTCCAGAAATAAAGCCAGGCATGGTGGCACCTGCCTTTAATCCTAGTACTCAGAAGACAGAGGCAAACAGATCTCTGTGAGCTCAAGGCCAGCATACATAGTGAGTTTAGGCCAGCTGGGGTTACAGGGAGACCCTGTCTCAAAATGATCAAAAAAACAAAAAAAAAAAAGAAAAGAAAAAAGAAACTCCAGAGACAGAGATCTTAACAGAGCAGTTTATTAGCAACCCCAGCATTTGGGAGGTGGAGGCAGGAGAACCACAAGACTAAAGTCATCCTTAGTCATACTTAGCAAATTCAAGGTCAGCCCAAGCTACATGAGTCCTTGTTTCCAAAAAACAGATAGAGGCTAGATGGATGACTCAGTGGTTAAGAGTACTTGCTGCTCTTTCAGAGGATCTGAGTTTGGTTCCCAACACCCACATTGAGCGCTCCAGCTCCAGGGGATCTGATACCTCTGGCTTCCCTGGGCACCAGCACTCATGTACACAGACTCACACACAAATATACACATAATTAAAAATAAATCTTAATAAATGTCAAATAGAAATATCAAGTAAAAAATCAAAACCTTAAAAATGAT